CCGCATCTCGGCTCTCGGCGCCTGGGCGCGATGTGCTCGTTAACACCCGGACGCGATTCCTAAAATCCTCCTGCTGACTCCGAGGGGCCGACACCGCAGGGCCTGGGTTGGGCGGATGAGGAAACAGGCGCAGAGCGGGTGTCATTTACCCCACGTGCCACAGCGGAGACCCGGCCGCGGCGCGGACCCTCGAGCTGCAGGAGGGCGGGGAACCGCAAAGGTTTCTCACCGTGTCGGGGCACCGCAGGACTGAGGTTTCCAATCGGGGCTCCAGAGCGGCGGGGCGGCGTGTTCTGACCCGTGCTAAGCAGCGGTCTCTGCGTCCGTCCTTCCACCCGTTTATCCAGCCATCCGACCTAGAAGGCAGGGCGGAGGCGCACGGGTCTGACGCGGGCACTACCTCTAGGTCCCATAGGCTGGGCAGTGATTCGCGGTGAAGATAAGGTGCTCAAGGGAACGGGTTTTCTGTGATGCTACCCCCTCCTCCCACACACACGTACACGCACGCACTCGGTGCTTGGCACATAGTAGGTGTTCGATTAGTCGTGGAATGAATGAATCTTGAGGTCCAAGAGGAACTCCTCCCCTATCCACCCCAACCCTCTGTTTTTGATACAACGCCTCGGTTTATCTTCTATTCATCCCGGCACTGAAACCCAAGTACTCCGTGCCTCTCCTGCTTCCTCTCTCTTCTTGCATCAATCCTGCCCCTCTGCCCTCCTGAAGACTGGGATCTATCCCTCCCTCACCTCCACACCCACCCTCGGTTCCGGCTCCTTTCTTCTGGTCTGTGGCAACGACCTTGTCGTTGAACTATGTCCACGCATTGTCAGAATGCGGTTTCTTTTTTGAATAATTATTTTTATTAACTTTATTTATTTATTTAATTTTAATTTGATCAGAGAGAGAGAGGGAAAGTGAGGAAGCAAGCCACCAGGTCCAGGACTCGAACCGCAGTTGGCTATGTGGGGAATCCAATGCACTTAACCACCATGCACCTGCTGGCCCCAGAGTGCGTTTTCTAAGACTCAGATATGACTGGGTGAGCTGTGCTTACCTTCCATAGCTCCCTATTATCCTCAGAATAAATAAAATGCAAACGCCCTGTCTGGCACACAGACAAGGAAAATAGATTTGCACCCGAATTTTTATGGAGAGCAACAGATGCCAGAAAGAAAACCACCACCATCCTAGAATTAGCCAATGAAACTATCTAGAATGAAAGAGCAATAATGGCATTTACAAATACAAGAACTAAGAGTTTCCAACTCACAGGCCCCTCCCTACGGGAAATTCCAGTGGGGGAGCTTCAGCCAGGAGGAAGATCACAGATGGAGGTCTGGTGCAAGAGAGAATAAAGAACAATGAAGAGCATTGATATCAGAACAACAACAATGCCTTCTGGACAAAAATAGCATTAAGTACACAACAACAGGCTCATAACTTGGGGGAGTGGAGTTCAAGTGTTCCAAGATCCTTTTGTTTTGCAGGAGGAAGGGGAAGACAAATATCAAATACACTTCGAATTTGGTGAGCTAAGATTGCAACTTGTCAGGACCAGCAGGTGGCATAGTGGTTAAGGTGCTGGACTCCCACATGATCAACTGCAGTTTGCGCCCGGGATCTGGCGGCTTGAAACTCATGCTGGCATGTATGCATGCATGCCCAAAATTCCAAGAGGAGATGGAAGAAAAGGGATTGCAGCATGGCCATACCCTGCTCCAGGGGGTGGTTCTCCACTTTCTCTCTCTGTGCGTGTCTCTCTCTGTGTCTATGCAAGCACAAATACCCTATAGTGAAAATCTCTCTCTAAAAAAGAATGGAACTTATTACTAGGGCAAATACTAATCGAATAGAAATATAGTGTGTATTTATCCACATTATTGGGTGGGGGGAGGAATAGAATGAGGATTCCAGGGAACCAGCAGTTAGCGTAATGGCTATGTCGCTGGACTCCCATGTAGTCGACCGCGGTTCGTGTCCCAGATCCGGTGGCTTAAAACTCACGCCAGGCGTGTGTGCGTGCGTGCCCAAGATCCCGAGAGGAGAATGGAGGAGAAGGGATTGTGGCGTGACCATCCCCCCTGGGGGGGTGATTTCTCGCTTTCTGTCTCTATGTCTCTCTCTCTCTGTCTGTCTGGCGAGCGCACGTGCCCTACAGTGAAAATCTCTCCAAAAAAAAAAAAGAATGAGGATTCCAACCCAAACATCATTAAATCAGACAAGACTACACAAAACAAAGACAAGTGGGACAAATAGATGGCTTAGAGAAATGCAAGTGTCCCACAGTCCAGTAAAGGCAAGTCAACCAAATGTTAGAGTTAAATGCAAAGATGTTGAGTCCACACAAAATTGTACCATTGATAGATGCAGTTTACAAGCTGTAAGTGGCACCTCCGATACGTAGGCCTACTGAAAGTTTGTACGTAAATTCCCGCGAGAAGAATACCGAGTGAATGCTCATGAAAAGAAATCTGGTACAGCTATTTCAATACCAGGAAAAAGCATGAACTGGAGGTAAAATCAATTCATAATAAAAAAGATCTAATTTGCCAGAAAAAAAAAAAAAAAGGAAAGAGAAAGAACTGGGACCAGCAGGTGGCAGTTAAAGTGCTGGATTCCCACATGGTGACCACAGTTCTAGTCCCAGATCTGGCGGCTTGAAAATCATACCAGGTTTGTGTGCTTGTCAGACCAAAATCCCAAGAGGGGACTGAAGAAGAATCACCCTCATCTTGGTAGGGTGATTTCTCACTTTCCCTCTCACCGTTCCTCTGTCTCGCTCCAGCGAGTGCATACACCCTATGGCAAAAACCTCAAAAATAAAAGAAAAAAAGTTTATAAAAAAAGAACAAATTCAAATTTGTATACAAATATCATAGTCTTCAAATACAAGAAACATGAAGAGAATTATACCAAGGAGTAGACAAATCCACAATTATAATGGGAGTTTGAAAACACATCCTTCTGTCATCAGCACAATAAGCAGAAAAATATTCGATAAGGCTAGCGGAGATTTGAACAACATGATTAATAAATGACCAATGGGGAGAGAGGGAAGGGAATGGGGGAAACACATTTAACGGACACAAAAGTGAAGTTATTTGCTGATGATAATGTATATAGTCATGTCTCTGTTCTGATTGATATGCGCTGTGTTCATGCTGGGAAAAGCCATGTTGTTGTACACTGTGAAGATGTACAGTGATTATGTGTAAATAAAAAAAAATGACCAATGGACTTGTATTATAAAACACTGTATCTACAAGCCAGAATACTCCTTTTCAGGACATGGACTTGGGGGCCAGCAGGTGGTGTGGTGGTTAAGGGTGCTGGACTCCCACATGGCCAACCGCAGTTTGAGTCCCATACTTGGCGGCTTGCTTCCTTGCTTTCTCTCTCTCTCTGTCTCTCTCTGGTTGAATTTAAAATGAATAAATAAAGTTAAATAAAATGATTCTTTAAAAAAAAAAAAAAGACATGGACTAATTACAAGACCAGTTCATCTCAAGGAATTCCAGTAGGTTGAGATCATCTCAGGTACATTCTCTGACCACGACATAGAAGCTAGAGACCAATAACAAATGATTCCATTAAAAGCCCTATATGTTTGCAAATTGTGAGGTACATTTTGAAATAACTGATGGATTAAAAAAAAGAATCTGGACCCATGTAGTGGTTATGCTGCTGGACTTCCACATGGTTCAAATCCTGGACCTGGTGGCTTGAAACTCATGCCGGGCGTGTGTGTGTGCATGCCCAAGATGCTGGTAGAAGAATGGAGGAGAAGAGATGGCGGAATGGCCATCCTCCATGGAGAGTGATTTCTCATTTTCCTTCTCACTGTCTCTGTCTCTGTCTCCCTCTCTCTGGTGAGTGCACGCCCTCGAAACGGCAAAAATCCTCTACCAAAATAAAGAATCAATGGACATTATAGAAAACTTTAAATGAGAATGGAAACTACATATTTTAAATTGTGGGCTATGGCTAAGCAATACTTACAGGAAAGGTGGTGGTCTTTAATGTTCATATTAGAAAACAGCGAAAGGGGTTGGCAGGTGGCATGGTGGTTAAGAATGCTGGACTCCCATATGGCTGACCATGGTTTGAGTCCTGGACCTGGCAGCTTGCTCTCTCACTTTCCCTCTCTCTCTCATTCTATCCCTCTCTGGTCAAATTTAAGTAAGTAAGTAAATGAATAAATAAATAAATGGATAAATAAAGTTCAATAAAATCATTCTTAAAAAATAAGAAAACAGCAAAGGCTGAAAGTCATGAGTAAGCACAAGCACCCATTCCAAAAGACTAGAAAAAGAGGGACCAGTGCATGGCAGAATGGTTACATTGCTGGACTTTTATGTGGTTGACCACAGTTAGAGTCCTGGACCTGATAGCTTAAAATTCATGCTGGGTACATGTGCGTGCATGCCCAAAGTCCCGAGAGGAGAATGGAGAAGAAGGGATTGGTGTGTGGCCATCCTCCCCCAGAGTATTTTTCGCTTTCTGTCTCTCTGTCTCTGTCTCTCTAGTGAGCACAGACA